TTATTATTATTCCCAGCAGTACTCATGCATCCCCAGACCATGACACTCCCACCAGCATGCTTGACTGTAGGCAAGACACACTTGTCTTTGTACTCCTCACCTAGTTGCCGCCACACATGCTTGACACTATCTGAACTGAATAAGTTTATCTTGGTCTCATCAGACTACAGGACATGGTTCCACTTATTCATGTCCTTAGTCTGCTTGTCTTCAGCAAAGTGTTTGCGGGCTTTCTTGTGCATCCTGTTTAGAAGAGGCTTCCTTCTGGGACGACAGCCATGCAGACCAATTTGATGCAGTGTGCGGCGTATGGTCTGAGCACTGTCAGGCTGAACCACCACCTCTTCAACCTCTGCAGCAACGCTGGTAGCACTCATACGTCTGTTTCCCAAAGACAACTTCTGGATATGACGCTGAGCACGTGCACTCAACTTCTTTGGTCGACCATGGCGAGGCCTGTTCTGAGTGGAATCTGTCATGTTGAACTGCTGTATGGGCTTGGCCACCCTGTAGCAGCTCAGTTTCAGGGTCTTTGCAATCTTCTTATAGCCTAGGCCAGAGTGTTCTTTGTCATGAGGTGCCTTGTTGAACTTCCACTGACCACTAGGAGGTAGTGTGTGAGCGATAACACCAAATTTAACATGCCTACTCGCCATTCACACCTGAGACATCGTTAACACCAACAAGTCACATGACACCGGGGGAGGAAAATGGCTAATTGGGCCCAATTTGGACATTTTCACTTAGGGGTGTACTCACTTTTGTCGCCAGCGGTTTAGACATGAATGGCTGTGTGATGTTATTTTGAGGGGACAGCAAATTTACACTGTTATACAAGCTGTACTCTCACTACTTTACATTGTAGCAAAGTGTCATTTCTTCAGTGTTGTCACATGAAAATTTAATCAAATATTTACTAAAATGTGAAGGGTGTACTCACTTTTGTGAGATACTGTAAATAATTGTAGCAGGGCTCAACAACAACGATTGCCTGATTGCCCAGGGCAAGTAAAATGCCACGTCGAGCTAGTAAATCTAGCCACCCATTCGCCTTGTACATGCACAGTACTGATAGGCAGCGGGTAGACAAAATTTATGAGTTGAAGCACAAGCGAGAATTTCAGTTATCTCTATTTAAACATTAACTTTTGTGTTATTTGATAACTGCTAGTAAATAAAACAATTTGTACTGGGGCATGTAAAAATTGACGTTGATCCCAGTATAGGTGAAAAATTAAGTTCCTATATAAACACTTTATAGTTAAAATACCTGTTACAACACCGCTTGACTGCTGTTGCCTTAACATTCTGAATTTGTTATCTCTTATTCTTATTTCTCTTGGTTTGTTTAAAAAAATATCTTATTTCTTTACTGTTTCTCCCCACTTACCTCTTGGCCAGTGTAACCCCTTCCCCTTCTGCCCTACCAGTCCGCTTGTGTCCCCCCCTCTGTTCCCCTGAGGATGCAAACATCAACCTGTTCACCGCTGCAGGGCTCCTGTCTTATATCCAGTCAACTACGCGGCGGGCTTACCAGCAGGTCCTGGAAGTGCTGGACGACAGCCATCGCAGGTGATTGTATTCACTGTATTTACAAAGTTCCTCAACAAACAACTGGTCCTGGTGGAAGAAAACTTACGAAATTTCATAGAAAAGAAAGAAACCTTTCTCACAGCAGTGTAACCTTTTTTAGAAAAGCTCCTGAGGTGAAGAGCTATAATGGAGAAGAAAGTTATGGAGTGTGGAGTTTCTAAATCAAAAGGAGAAAGCAGCTGTGAGACATCAAAACAGGAGAAAAATGTCTGGACGTAGTAAAGTAATGCGCGTGAAAATTGTGCTGGGGTGATCTATTTTACAGAAAGTCACATTATAAAGCCATTAATGTTGTTTCCCAGCTTCAACCTCCATCATCCCCGCTGTGAACATAATGAGGCCGTGGTCCGTGTGGAGCCGGGACGTGTTTTGTAGTTGATACAGTTGTTGGTAAAGAAGGGATGATTGGTTGTTTTGACTCGAGCACGGAGGATTGTTATCAAAGGCATTAGGAGCAGTAGGAGACGCCAGATTATCTGTCTCATGTATTTCTGTCAGGATATAGCGACAGTTTCATGCAGGGGAAAATTCCCTTTCAGGATAGTTTGTGCAGCTATGCTAACACTCTCTGAGCTAGACTAGTTTAGTTAATTATGTCACTGTTGTCGTTATTCTAAAATGAGATAAGTTGATTTCCACAGGACACACCTGGACCTGGCCCTGGATATAAACCCTGATGAGTCTGGCTTAGTGGATGCCTCCTCACTACGACGACAGGTAATCTATCTCACACGCCTAAATGATAGCTTGTGTCGCTGATAAGTGGTTAATATGCTTCTCCACTGCTCTGCTGTGCATAGTGTGCCTGTTAGTATTTTCTCCTATTTTTAGCTTTATAATTTACAACTGTTGAGGTACAGTGACGCTGATGCAACAAACTTATGTATCCCATATCAGGCTGGTAACCGGCAGAGCAGCACACACATTTTTTAGATACTCAGCTGTAAACAAACAAAAGACTCAACAAACAAAAACGAATGCATTACAAGTACTAATTACTTTCTTTTAAACAGTATTGTTGTCAACTGTTGCTGCTGTACTTGTGCCATTTCAAAACCAGTGATAGCAGTTGAAACGCAAAAAGGACTCCACCAAGTTCCTCGTGTCTGTTGTTGATTTTGATATAGTTCTGCTTTTGACATCCTTCACACTTTAAACTTAGACTAAAAACCAAATAGTGGTAATCCTATGTAAATACTTGGGCAACACAAGTAGTGTTGAAAAAAAATTTTTTGTGTCAGATTGTAAAGTTGAACCGACGTCTGCAGCTGCTGGAGGAAGAAAACAAAGAACGCTCCAAGCGAGAGGTGATCCTGTATTCTGCCACTGTGGCATTCTGGCTTATCAACACCTGGATCTGGTTCCGCCGCTAAGATGGGACAGGACAAGTCTCCCAAAACACTGGAAGCCAAAGCAATTCCTTGTTAAAGGGTTAATACAATTAGGGCTGAACAATTTAGAAGAAATATCTAATTGTGATTATTTTGACTGATATTGCATTCATTTGAGGGAATGATTATTTTTACATAATTATTCTAATTTTCAGTGAAAAACATATTTACATGATTATGGTGTGATTTTTGCAAGGATCTGTACCAAACAAATATGTTTTCTTAAGTCTGTAGAATATGATGTGTAGTCCAGGACATCTCTGCAGCACGACAATATTCTATTTAAAAAGGTATTTTGACACACACATTGCCTTTAACAAATATTGCACTTCGTGTGAGTTGAAAATTGAAGTTGTTTTGATTAATTGTTCAGCCCTAAATACAGTATGAGCCTTTACTTAGTCTTTACTACATCTAAAGGCAACCACAGAAAACTACAACAACACTGGCAAATGTCCTCCACAACAGTCCTGTGTGTTTCTGTTGCATGTTCTACTATCTATTGAGATTCCACTTCCAAATTTGAACATTAGAGCTATCAAGATGGGACATAAGTAAAACATAACCAATGTTTACAAAACCAATAATATACCAGTGTTTGGTAAATCTACACAGTTTACACTGGCTACCTTCACACCTGACTATAAACAGGCTCTGGTGGGATTCAACACCGTATGTAGTTCAAGTTAGCATATCTCACATTCAAAGATTCATTTATGTATTTCGTTCCTGTATAAACTAGCAAATGACTAGCAAGACAAAGCACAATGACACTACAGCTGGATGTTTGCAAACTGCTTTGGGCAGAGGGCTGAGCTGAGTTTTGCTGTGTAGCAGCATTAACATACACTTGTTACCTTATTAGGTTTAAACATATTTTGCTGTCCTCAGTGTTACACTGCACTGATGTTCACTTGAGTTTAGGAGAAACTAAAGGTGGTACAGATAATATAGAAAATGGGGGACTAGTTTAAAGTAGCAAATCAATAAATTAATGAAATGAATTCATTAAGCAACAAGAATTGGAAACTTTTATTGATTATATTATGGTTAGTTTGTGGAGAGAGCTGTGAAAATACTACTTATTACGCTTATTGCACCTTTTAAGCTTGATAAATCCTTTGCACAGCAACAACAGATGTTACAGTGATGCTTACCATCTTTGTAAACCACATTTGTAAATGAGACTTTTTAGCTTTAGGAGAACAATGATTAGAGGGCAAACAAGGATTTACTTAAGCGACAAATGTTTTGGGAACCTGGCCCAGACTGGACCTATCTTGTCTGTTTGGAATTGAGATTCATTAGTTTTGTCGAATGACTACCATTCTTAAAGTGTCAAAGTAACCTGACTAAATCTAGAGATGCCATAACATTTATTCTGAATGTCCTTTAAGTTCTGCATTACCCAAAACAGATGTGTACAGTATTTAAATAGCTTATTGTTGAAATGTTGTAGTTTGACCTTAATGTTATTATTATATTTTTCCCTCTGTGGTCACATGCCTGGGGATCCTGTTATGAGTTTGATGAAGTGGCAACAACAATACTAAGGGTAGGGTATTAAGTGACAATGTTTCCCCATGCTGTTCATTCAATTTGAGCTTATTTTTTTCAGATAATTTAACCACTTATGTTTTCCAGTAAGTTACCTACAAAACTAAAAGCATGGACTTTGTGGTTCTATTCATCAAACAGTGTGATATAAATCTCAGAGCTACTGTCTTTATGATCATGTGTATTAGATGGCATTGTGTGTGAAATATTGATGTCATTATTTTTCAATAATGAAATGATATGTATTTCATGGAGGTTTATTTATGACATATAATGCATAGACATCAACATATTCTGTTAAACACTGTACCTAAGACTTAAAGCTGGAGTTTTAAGTTAAATATTTTACTTTCTTTGTAATATATGAATACGTTCATTAATATTTTTGATGTAATAAACGATGGATGTTAATTTCCTCCGGAGCCCTGCCTCTGTGTAATGCTGACCTCTACTGCTCCATTATGTCCAACACCAGGAAGTTCCGGGGGCTTTGACTGGACATTGTTGCAGAGAGGTGGTGTTTAACTAAAACACCAAAAATCCTCCACAACCAGCAGTTGATTTGTAAACAGCCAAACCTGAACCACCTCGTCTTCTACCCTTCTTATATACATCTATGCTTTCACCAGAACTACAGAAAAACAGAAAGAAGAAACATTAAGGTGCTGGCAAAACAATGGGGATCACTAAACTGGCAGATTTGATCCGCTCAGGTGCTCCAGGTGCTATTTCTCATAAGGATATCAGTGACTACACAGGTAATAATGCTGACCAATGTCTTTGTTTTATTATTTGTGTAACGTTAAACGGCAAATGCTAATGTTAGCATACTAGCTTAACAGTTAGCTAACTGTTAACGTTCCAACTAGCAGCGCTCACTCCACACAACAAAACATCTTTAAAAGCAACACTGGAGTTAAAGTTAACGTAAGTTCGACATTTACTCTGTAATCATCAGGCAAGGTTACAATGAAGTACGTTAATGTTACAACTTGTTACTTTAATGTTAACCTTACTTAACATTTAACATTATACGAGTACTTTAACTTTTGTTTCTAGTATAAAACTCACTATTATCAACATAAGCATTTTGATGTGATACATTACCATTAACACAACATGACACATCTCTGTAATTCTGGACATTGGTGTCACCACACAAGATCAACACTACAGATATGATAAACATAATTTACACTGTTACTATATCATCATCATCATCATCAACATCACTAAGGTAAGGGACTTCAACAGCAATCAACAGCAGCAGCTAGTTCCTCCTGTCATTAGCATTGAAAGTTTGAATGGAGACCGGGATGAAGGAATACTTGTAGTACCTCTTTTTTTGTTAAGTGGTCTAACTAATTCAGTTTACTGATGGTTTTTGTACCTTTAATGAAGTCATGAAAGGACATAGGCCTAAAGCCCACTGTAGGGATCAACTATTAATCGAAATTTTACTTAAATTTTCAAATAGCAGGAGGCACAATATTGGTGTTTTATGTCAAAATACCTTTTTTAATAAAACATTGGTGTGCTGCAGAGATGTCCTGGCCTACACGTCATATTCTACAGACTTAAGAAAACATCTTTATTTGGTACAGATACTTGCAAAAACTACACCAGAATCATCAATGAAAATGAGAATAGTGACGTAAAAATGATCATTCCCTCTAGTATCGCAATACATCGCAATTACAATACCTAAAATAATAGCTAAAAATAGCTAATAGCTAGAGCTAAAATAATAAGATAAAGCTCACAATGATTTTATGTAGCTAGATGAATACAAAGCTGCATTACTAACAGCACATTAATACTGCTGTTAGAAATATTTTTTGAAGATACAAAGTCTTTTGAGGTCAAATAAATTGAAATGGCTGTCTGGTGCCAGGTAAAGAAAGTATTAGAATATTATTTTTATTTTATGTAATTGACTGATATCCTCTAACAAATAGTGAACAAATTGTATTATATGGTGCTGATGGCATTGGTGCTGTGTTTAACTCCACAGGAAAAGTAATTGCACTGGATACCTCCATTGTTATGAACCAGTTCCGTGCAGCGACGCCTTCCCTAAGGTGAGCCCCCTTGATGACCGATGTCCCATTTTGCCTTGTTAAAGTGGAGCAAGAGTGCTTCTCTTTTCTTTGACTAGTGAATTCTATATACTGATTCCCCTTTTCCAATCCAGTAAACTGTGTGTCCAGAAAAACGGAAACACCTATAACATGCAAGGCAGTCCAATAAAATAGATCTACAATTACTTTGCTTAGAATAATCAGACTGCTGTTGTAGCTGTTTTTGTGTTTACTTAATTTTTACTTTTTGTGGCTGCACTTTAGGGTGGTGTATTAAATTGCAGTTATAATAATAATAATGCCTTTATCATATCATTTGCTTATGAGCAAAAATATTACATGAACCTTAAAAATAATGCAATCCAACACAATACCACCATGAACTACAGCGATTGGTGTGAGAGACCTGGGTTCAAATCCACTGTGAGACACCAATGTGTCCCTGAGCAAAACACTTAACCCCTAGATGCTCCAGAGGTGTGCGACCTCTGACATATATAGCAATTGTAAGTCGCTTTGGATAAAAGCGTCAGCTAAATGAATAAATGTAAATGATTAAGTTGAATCAAGATGTCTTTGATACAGACTCTTATATGTTCAGCGATGTACAGGGATTGCCAATGTATTTGTGTGAGATATCCTTTATGTCTTCTCTGTAGCCCTCTGACAGGCCTCTTCTTCCGCACGCTCACCTTTCTGGAACATGACATAAAGCCAGTCTTTGTGTTCGACGGAAAGCCTCCCAGGGAAAAGACAGCTGTTGTAAGTGACACTTCTTTGTACTCAACCTGATACTAAACATGTCCCCCCTGGTGTGTGTGTAGGACAGCCACGGGTCTGAGGGAGACTAATGCTAATTCTTTCCTCATGTGTTCATGATGGCGGTAGAACTGGTCTCCTTATATGTGCTGATTGAAGAAATATTTAAACAAAGAAGTGAAAGTGAATTTGATGGGCCAGTGTGTTGTGATAAAGACAGCGCAGACCTGTAATGTGAGACAGATGACTGCCACCCATGCTGACTGAAGCTCCTGTTTTTCCTGCAGCTTGAGAAGCGAGCTGAGGCAGCTGGTTGGAGCTCCCCCAGCTGCACCGGCACAGGTACATCTACACAGATTGATAACCACAGGCGCAGCTTTTGAAGTTTCACTAGATATGAAACTAATTTTATTCTTGGGAGACATATACACTGGGAATAATATTTGAATGTCATGTCTTTTTGTGCTCCATGCAGCATCATCCCTGACCAAAGATTGTCTCCAGCTTCTGAAGCTTCTGGGTGTACCAGTCATCCAGGTACGACCTGCTAAACATGGATTATGTATATTTGTTCATATTTCTCCCACCTACTCCTTCCTTCCTTCTCTCACTTTATGCATTTACATTTTTATCTCCCTCTTTTTCTTTCTGTCTTATGCTCCAGGCTCCAGGGGATGCTGAGGCACGGTGCGCCCATCTGGTGAGAGAGGGGACTGTGGACGCTGTGGCATCAGAGGACATGGACACACTGCCGTTTGGAGCCATATTCTCATTCGCCAGCTGAATGCCAAGAAGGACAGGTAAGAACTGCGCAATTCATGTGTTGCGTAAATAACTGTACTGGAGTTTTCTCATGTTTTAATCATTTTCCAAATTATACCATAGATATTTACGTTGGTAGACATGGTTTCCCCTCATGTCAGTGTACTATGAAAATCTTCTAGCAGAGATTAAAGGCATGCTTGAGATAGGATATCTGTAAGAGTGAACAGCAAGCTCAGATGTATTTTTGTTATAGTATTCTTCTTACATTGCAGTGCAGTTAAACACACAGAGCTTTTTGTAAAGTGTTCTGGGGCTGGTTCTTTAAAGTCCTCTTCTGAACCTCTGACACCTCAAGACTTTAGAGACCAGCATAGGATTCATTACCCATGTCACTGGAAAATTAAACACCACACGAATGCGTCCTCTTTATATAAATGGGTTCACATGTAAATGAGCTTTTGATGCAAGTTAGCCTTAAGTTGCTCATCTGTAGTAATATTGCCACATTGACATCACCTGTAGTCCTGTAGTCCGACATCGTCACGTCGGCTTGCCAGACAAAAATGAACAGCAGCAAACTGGGCCAAAGTGACAGAAATATTTTAAGCCACAGTAACTCTCAGAAGAAGACTAACTAGGTGCTTCTTATTTTTAGAGAGCAGGACACATCCGTGATCTCTCCGACAAAAATGAGCCACACACAGTATTATCATTATTAGCGTATATGTTATCAGGGAAATGTCTTTGCAAATTAGCTCCACAGGGTTGTTTTAAGTACATTGGAGTGAGGTCAAACAGTGGAAATAAACCTAAGAGGTTTTCTTCTGTGGTGGATAGTTAAATATTTTTTATGTTGCCTAGCTGGCTTGGATTAAATTACTTGTTGCCTCAACTAATATCCATGTATTGATGCCACTGATGCCAGTTGAGTTCCTCATGTCACTTTATTTCCAAAAATTATATCTATCACTTTAATTGAAGGAAGGACTGGAAGGTCTTTAAACTGATCTAATGTTGATTTATGCTCTTCTTCTTCTTCTTCTTTTCTTCTTCTTCACCACAGTGAAGTCATTGAATATTCTTTGCCCAAGCTGTTAGAGAAGCTCCAAATTAGTCACAAGGAGGTGAGACTGAAACATTAAAGATAACATAGAATACCATAATTCGTAATATGGAAATATTCGATACAAACAAGTACTCAAACTTTCCTTATTCTTGCTTGTTTTTTTCCACCAGTTTGTTGATCTGTGTATTTTATTGGGCTGTGACTACTGTGACAAGATAACTGGTCTGGGTCCTAAGAGAGCTCTGACACTGATCCAGAAGCATCGTACTATTGAGAATGTGGTTTTGCACATCAACAGAAAGGTACTAGCTGGATAACCAGTGGTCTTTGTTTTTCTTTCTGTACGTTACTTTAAAAAAAGATCTAATAAGTATTTGCTGCCCTTCAGACCCATCCTGTGCCACATTTCTGGAAGTACGAAGAAGCCCGGAAGATATTCTTGGATGCACCACAAACAGTAGCTCCTGAACTCACCTGGACTGAGCCAGATGAAGAAGCCTTGGTTCGGTTCCTCTGTTACGTCAAACGCGTTAAGTACGTACTGGATTTTAGCTTGAGCCCAGCCTTCATTTCACATGCTTCTCCGTCTCGTTCAAATACAGCTTTGACTGTATTCATGTTGGTATGTTTTTAGGGAGGACAGGGTCCGTCGTCGAATGGGGAAGTACCGTCAGATGCGGGAAAGTAACCGGGAGGACAGGGAAAAGGAGAGGGCAGCAGGGCGCAGCAGGCAGTCTCGCATGGAGGACTTCTTTAGAGTTACCAGAAAGAGGGATCAGGTGAGCGTAACATAATTGTCTACAAAAATGATAAGGCTTATTAAATTAATTCAGAACTGGATTAATTGGATGAAAAGCTATGATTAAATTAAGTACTTAAAACTACATTTGAAATGTCTGAATCAGTCAATAAAATCTACTCAGCTCCTCTAATCTGTATATTGAAGCCAATTTGGGGTTCAGTGTCTTGTCCTTGGCCATATTTGGATGTTCCATCTGTATGTGAATGTTAGTGTCTGTTCTGTGCAGTTGGGCTCAGTGTGTGAATGTGTGTCAATGGGTGAATGTGTGTAGTTGAAAAGCGCTTTGAGTGGTCGGAAGACTAGAAAGGCGCTATACAAGTACAGAAAATTAGTTCCAAATGTGGCGTGTTAATTTGTCTGAACACTTGTTCTCTTTTTCTTTCTCTAGCCTGTGGAAGCTGCAGACTCTTTAAGCAGCAACAGAAAGAGACCAAAGTCGAAATAAGGCCACCACCATCTGCTGCTTGCTGCCTCCACCATAAAAAAAAAGGATTGGTTTTTCAGTCCTGTCTGCCAGATATCTAAAAGTTATTATGAAAAAAAGAACATTGACCAATTGGGAATTTCTCAGCTGTGAGATGATTGTGTTTTAACAAATGATCATTATTACTTTATGCGTTATTCCTGTGCTGATGAGAAATTCTAGCATCTTCGTCGACTAAATGGTAATCCATTCATTTTGATTTTGTTTTCTGTAAAACTGATAATTTCATTAGTTTCAGATGCAGCAGCTGTACATGTTGGATCATGGTATTGCATTGGCACAGGACTGCGCTTTTCCAAGTGCCTTCTAGTCACCGCCGAATCTTGAAGAAGCCAAACAGACATCTTGCAAGATACAAGTTTTTGTCTCTGCATGGGAGTATTACCCACACTGACAATACAGTCATCTGATCTGGTCTTAACAGCATTGTCTGCAATAATGCAATTCACTGAGCAGTTCTTCAGTGTATCCAGCAGTTCCCTGCTAAAGCCACCAAGCAGAGCAGAGCAGGCGGCGGACGGCTATGAAAGAGAACAGTGTGATCACTGTCAGGGAGGCCTTCACCCAAGCCAAAACTGGAGACAGGGGGTGTCTCATCACTAGATATTCAGTCAGCACCTGTTGTGTAAAGGGTGCCAAGGCAGAGACCAAAGACTTGAATTTTAATGTTATGTTATCATGTCTTAAAGAGATAGAGAGAGAAATGTTTAAATCCATGTGAAGAACATTGTATATTATTTTGAAAAAAACACAGAATGTCCTGTGTGTCGTGCATATTTTTATATTTTATATGTATATTCCTTTTTAAATTAAAATAATATGTCAATTGATATGTTTGTGTGATGTGGTTGTGTACTGTTTTCACAGCACAATTTATTCAGTAATTTGCTCTGAAGTGTATCTAAACAGGACGTTATTGTTTATTAACGCACGAGGCATGATTCCGAGCCACCAGATGGCGCCTGTGCTCGTGGAGCCGGCCTGTTTCTCAATTTTGCCGTGCAGAAGAAGTCGTTTGTCAGCCTCCCAGTCTCCACCAGACCTCTAGGCAAGGTGTCTGCCCGGCCACCGCCGTCGCACGCGTCAAGCCTCGCCCTGAAGACGCCCTGTCCCGGGTCCCTTCACCAAACTTCCTTCCCGGTGATAACCAACCCGCTGTTTTCGGCCATGGCGACCAGTGCGAAGCGAAAGCAGGAGGAGACTCATCTGAAGATGCTCCGGGAAATGACTAGCCTGCCCGCGAATAGGAAATGCTTCGACTGCGACCAGCGCGGCCCGACCTATGTCAACATGACAGTGGGCTCCTTCGTCTGCACCACCTGCTCCGGGATCCTGTAAGTTTCCTTTTGGGGATAAAGTGTCGTCTTTATTGTTTACAGTGTCTTACCAGGCAAGGACAAGGCGCCGCTGTCGGTCATGGATGTGTTTGGTACCACCACTGACTTGGCGGTACCGTTAGCTCGTTAGCTAAGTTAGCGTTAAAGTCAGGACAGGTAACGCCACCCTCGGTTCTTCCTCCGAGGCCGCTGGGTTGGGCCGGGTAATGTCAGCAGTTTGATTTGTTTAAGTTACAGCATTACTCCAGTGTGATAAGACGTGTTGTCATAGGCTGAGTGTGAGGGATGTCTCAGTGGTCAAGGTTAGCACGCCCAACTGTAGGTCCACATACCGGACAGCTAAATGTTTCACCAGCCTTGTTAAAAAGCAACCCGTCGCAGGGGGACCTCCTCTACTCTGAACTTAACCTGGACCTCCGACAAGTCATGCTGCAAACAAACACACACCCCTAGATAAGCCGGAGCAAGGTGGGTCTCTTAACTTGGGAAGTAGTTGAAAGTGGGGCAGTGGGTCGGTGAAACCACTTCTTGTTCCCCAGAAGCTCTTATCATGGTGATGAAATCAGGATTTATGCAATATGTTAACTGCTTGCCCACATGTAGTTACTCATATGAAAGCAAACATTTCAGCATATTTTGCTGTCAGCATGTTAAATGTGTTGTCAGGGAAGTTGTTGCAAGGCCACATCCACCCAGTGTATTGCAGCTGTATAAAGTATTTAACCTTTAATTCTAAGTCTATGTTTGTGTGTGTGTATGTGTGTGTGGCTCCACTATAAGGATTTGGATATTGGTATGCATTTAAGATAATCAGCATTTGAGCTATGACACAGATAAGATCATATCCTGTGGCATATTCTCTCCAGTCCTATGAGTCTGTGCACATATCCATTATTAAACCGTACAGAATGAGAGTAGGACGTCAATTAGGAAATGTGAAATAACTATAACTAACTTTTGAAGGCAGTGCTAACATCAGTTTTAAAATACAGTGCTTAAAAATATGTTTACCCCATTGTTTGTTTTGCTTCATTAAATCACAGTGGATTAATTGAGCAACAAAAATTGACAAATAAAAGTCAAACTTCTACCATATCATCTTAATTAAGTACAAAACACACAAGTATTCACCCTCTTGAAGTCAGTATGATTAGAGGCACCTTTGGCAACAAGTACCGCATTGATTCTTTGCAGGACACTGGTTTGTCCTCTTTGCAAAAATCTGAAAGCTCTGTCAAGTTGCAGTGAACAGCAATTTTAAAGTCCTGCCATAAATTCTGGTTTGGTTGGAGGTCTAGACTCTGGCTTGACCACACCAGGACATTAACATTGTTGGTGTTTAGTCATTCCTGTGACAGATTGCATCAGGTTTTCCACCAGGATTTGTCTTGGGTGTCTTCATTTTAACTTCAACTTTCACAAGCCTTGTCATGTCTGCAGCAGCACCCCCCAGTGATGGTGTGTTTGGGTCTCATCAGACCATAGAACCCTCTTCCACTTTGTTTCAGAGTCTCCCACATACCTTGTTGTGAACACTAGCCCACATGTTATGTGATTGTTCTTTTTTCCACAGTGGTTTTATCTTTGCCAATCTGCCATAAAGGCTGCAACTGGTTAAGCAACAGTTGTTGACTGCACAATTTACCGTTTTCGCAACAAAATCTTGGTTACCTTTCTTGCTGGTGTCTCTCTTGCACCGACCCCTTGAGGCCATTTAACCTTTTTTATGATTTACCTCACCTCTGAAGATTATGTGGATTGTTTTTCTTATCAGTGTTGAGGGTTGAAGGATAAGACCCCTTGGTACAATCTTGTAAGTTTGTGCTATATAAACAAGCAATAATTCAGTAATCTTGTCACAGATTTGTTTGTAAAACTTTCTTTGTGACTAAGCTTTTTGCCAACAAACTAGCTGCTGCACCTTCTATTTACTAGCGTAGGTAGAGCCATGTCACTTGTCCCACCTTGATTACACACAGTTCATTTTAATTTGGCTCATTATGTGACTTCTTAGAACAGTTGGCTCAACGGTATGATTTTTGTAAGTCACAAATTTCAAAATGCTTATGCAATTCATTATTTTGTGTTTTATATTTGTACTTGGGTTAGATCAATTTGAGAGATTTGTTTTAACTTTAACACTCAAGTATTTCTACTGTGGATCCACGTCAAAAACTGTGATTTAAATGTTTTAAAACAACGAAACATTAACAAGTGTATTTGGGATCTGCTATAAGACCCATTTCAAATATTTCTGAATTAACTTGTTGGGGAATGAATTTACAGGAAGGTATTACTTTCCTTGAGATTTAAAGCAAATACTATAAGTGCTATGGACTTTGAAACCTTTAACTAGCAGCAAATGCTTCCCTCTGATGTTCTGTGGGTTTGCATTTGCATTGCAAATGTCTGTCAAATGTTCATACTTACACTTAAAATACTCATGTGTCCCTCTCAGAGGAAAATGTATTGGTGTATCTAGGATTGGGTTGTTTTGTTGGGTTGTTTTGTTTGCTTGTTTCATTTCACATGAACAGCACTAGGTCGCTTCCTGCTTCTCTTGTTCTTCAGTTAACATATACTTCCTCCACCCACAGGCGAGGACTGAATCCCCCACACAGAGTGAAGTCCATCTCTATGACCACGTTCACACATCAGGAGATAGAGTTCCTACAGAAACACAGCAATGAGGTATCATGCACACTTTACACCAAAGGGCTCAGCAACATATTTCACATTGTTAAACATTATTTTAGTCAAGCCTGTCTAGTTCTGTATTCAGAGGTGGCATGCTGGCATTTTTTTGAACCCAGTTAACTTTATTGGCATTCCTCTCTCCTTACTTTTTTTTCCTCACATTTCTCATCATCCCCTCCCCCTTCCCTTTTGCCTTCTCTCACCTCTCTTCCGGCTTTGCCACTACCCCCATCCAAATCCCCTCCTTACCTCCCACTCTCCTCATTCCTCTGCCCCCCCGTAGGTCTGTAAACACATCTGGTTGGGCCTCTATGACGACAGGACACTGGTTGTTCCAGATTTCCGGGAACCGCAGAAAGTAAAAGAGTTCCTTCAGGAAAAATACGAAAAGAAGCGATGGTAACATAAAGTTATTGATTCTTTTTTTTTGTTTGTTTTGGCAAAAATAAAAACCTTTGTCAGCAACCTTTTATGACCATAGTTATTTCAGTTCTTCACCCTACGTTTAGACATTGTATAAATGGTGGAATTAAGCAATATTTTAGGAGAACACAAAAGAGTGCTGAGAGTTAAGTGCTATCTCTGCCAAAAAACATTTTGCAATTATGGATTTGGTTAACCATATGCTTTAGTTTGATAGCATGCTCTTCATTGTCTAGGACTTCCTATGTCTGCGTGTCACTTTCTTCTTTTGCTGCAGTGTTGGTGGAAAGAGAACACAACTTTTAACTGTTACAACTGTGCTTTATCAAACAAGATCCCATTTGATGACATTGAAATACTTCCTTTGCACCAAACAAATTAATAATTACTAATTTGTTGTACTATGTTCACATAGTGCTCAGATGGGATTGTATTATAAAAAGCTTTCTGTTTTCCCTTTTTTAATAAAGTTCTTTCCTGAATGCCTAGGTATGTTCCCCCAGACCAGGCAAGGGCAGTATCAAGTGTCCAGGCCTCTGTGTCCGGCTCCTCAGCCAGCAGCACTGGTAGTACCCCAGAAGTCCAACCTCTCAAGACCCTGCAGCTCAACAAGACCCCACTGCGCCAGGTAACAGAAATGTACACTCAGCCTCCATTTGCCCATTCGATAGCCACCAATGATGTCTTCTGGTATTTGGTTGGAGAGAAGTATATTATATATAGGCGGGGTAGAGTATTGCAGAATTATATATACCCTGTTGTTTTTCCTGCTGCTGCTTAGTCTCCGGGGCTAGGTCGTTCCCAGGCTCACAGTGCCGCCCAGGAGAAGAAGTTTGACTTGCTCTCAGACCTAGGAGGCGATATCTTTGCTGCTCCACCCACTCAAACTTCGAGCTCTACCAATTTTGCCAACTTTGCACATTTTCCAAGCCAGTCGGGTAAGCAAGCTTTCCCTCATAGGTCACAAACTGGCCAACATTTCACTCAGACTAATACAGATATTTAGCAGTTTGTAGCCTTTGGTTTGCCATCATCCCATGCATTTCCCATTTGCCATTGTTTTTATTTCCACATTCAGTGTGCCTGTGTTAATTGTTCCTTGTGTATGGCTGCAGCACCTCAGGGTAATTCAAATACCAACTTTGCCAACTTTGAGGCATTTGGAAACACTGAAATTCCATCCCATCTGAGCACGTCACCTCCCTCAAAGTCCTTTTCATCAGGTACCCCGATCCCCAACATTGTCTTTCCTCCAGCCTGTCCACACACACACTCTCACCCTCTCCTCAGTATTTTTTTTAATTTTCTTATTCATTACTTACTTAATCCACTGTGTCCACTGGGCAAGCCCTTTCTGTATCCAGCAATGCTCTATAGATGCTGAGAGCATGTGGTGGTCATCACTTCTGTTGGTTGATTGTAGCACATTTCACTTTTTTCACAAGTTTTTAAAGTAATGCTCGGCAAAGTTAGCACTTAAGAATAGCTAAGTTGTTATCAATGTTGGAAACACACGGGATACATCCTTCAATTCAATTGTTATCAATTTTAATTAATTTAAGAAAGACCTTGCAAAAGTGCTGTAAAGGGAGACACCTAGTGGACATTTGGCCCCGAATCTCACATTGTGCTTATTTTACAAAATAGCTTTGTAAATTTTCCCTCACACTTTAAGCTCTTAAGCTTTTCACTTAATAATTTAGTTACTTCTTTGTCTTTTTGTTATTTGACTGTGCATGTATATGCATGTGGCACGTGATCTTTGAGTATTATTTATTTATTTATTTATTTATTTTCTACTTCAAAAATGTGTTGAAAGGGGGAGGTGTGCCAATACCATCAATGTCTAGTGCCGTCACCACCCAGTCCCACACAGGGAGCACAGAGGATCGCTATGCTGCTCTGGCTGAGTTGGACAACAAGCTCAGCTCGACTGTGTCAACAGGCAGCAATGTGCAGGGGTGAGAGACTGAGACAGGCGCCCGCGCACACACACACACACAGTAATATTTTACTAACCCAGCTTTTTTTAAAAGAAAGTCGGCAACATGTTTACAGTTGTAAATGTTAATTAATGCATGAGTTGTGCATTAAAAAAACATTAAATCTCTACATTTTCATTACAGGAACATATTTGGACCAGTGCTTAGTTCATCGCCAGCTCAGAATCCACCTGTGTTACCCAGCATGCAGCCTGGCTTTGGAGGTGGTAATAGTGATTGCTACTACAGTGATGCACACAGAATGGAAAATTCATTTTTACATGTAGTTCGAAGTCTCATTTTGCAACTTACTCCTGTATTTCATCTAGCTGTCCCATCCACAAATCCCTTCGTTGCTGCAGCCGTGGCCCCGGAGATGGCCACCAATCCTTTCCAGACCAATGGCAGAGCTCCTTCTGCAGGTGTGTGTACATTTAAAATGTAGTGTGTTTAAGATCGTGCATTTTCTTTACCTAGGCATTTGTGTTACTTTGATGTAACCCAGTTACATTGCCATGTAGCTTTGTGATTTGAAGTATCTAGAATTTACTTCTCCGTGTGTGTGTGTGTGTGTGTGTGTGTGTGTGCATTTGTGTACACACATGCTGCGTGTGTCTTGTAGCCTCATTTGGTACTGGTTCTATGAGCATGCCTGCTGGCTTTGGGAATGCGTCTTCCTACTGCCTGCCGACCAGTTTCAGCGGAAACTTCCAGCAGCAATTCCCTGGCCAGGCCCCCATCCCTTACTCTCAACCTGGGGCCTACCACCCTCAGTCTAATGGTTAGTGGCCTCCCACATCCCTCTGTGCTCTTACCCTGTTCCGCCAGTGCAGTAACTGTCAGTGACTTAGCTCACCTGCAGAATTTTCCTCGGCATGAATTATATGTAATCTTCTCCACATGATGGCCCTCTGCGTTAGAAATTGCATTTAAGTCTAGCAGCAGAAAATTAAAAGTGTGACTTGTCAGTGGCAGCTACTGCACAGTGATAAAAGGTTGCATTTAGGGTACTAAGCTTTGGGCGTTCTGCTCTGTTAAAGCTCTGCAGCCTTTTGCACCAGCTGTGTGTAAGTTCAAACTTAGCCTAGTTATAATGTAAATTCTTACTAAGTTGTAATTTATTCATTACTAAGATAAAAAGTGGTTGCACCACTGAGATAAGTTACAACATAATTCTACGTAACAACTACTTATATAATAGTTGCCCCAGGGTAGGTGTAAATCATTAAATGTCACATAATTATACTCTCTAACAGCAAAACAGCCGTTTTTCTGCCACGTAGCATCATTTTTCATTAATTGCATGTCATTTTGCAACACAGTAATCCAGTAGAGACCTAATTTATTGATATTTCATTATTCATACAGCTTACTATGATGTGCTACAATGCCAAGTGGCTCATGCCAGCCAGAAAGCTAATGCACACGCCAACCATGACTTTCAAATAACTTTGATTGTTGATTGGCCACTTGCCTTATTTACTATTTTATGTCTAAACTAATTAAGTCATGCGTAATTAATTAGTTAATTATTCATGGTGCAACTAATTTTAGTTAGTTGCAAACTATCTAGTAGTTACTAATCCTCTAGTGTTGACCTTTAGCCCTAACTTAGGAGAGAACTTACACATAGCTGGTGCAACCCAGTGCTGGACCAGAAACATAATGAATAAATCTGACATCACTCATAAGGCTCTGTACATACCTGAATACAATCTGACACGCTGGGGCTTGACACCCCCCCCCCCCCCCCCCATCCTCCTCTTTACAGTCCCAATAAACTTATTATAATAATTTAGTTCATTGTAAAAAAAATAATGTTTTTCTTTGACTCTTTTTGGCCTGTTGATACAACAGTTAAAATTAAATACCTGTTGTAAATCCCTGTCCTGTATCACCCCTAGGCCCTGCATTCCCAGTCTACGGTCAGAACAAGCCCTCCATGACGCCCTTTGGGCAGCCCATGGCTGGCCCTGGCATGTCCAATAACCCATTCATGGTGAGCATGCATTGTCTTTTGTTTTCCCAACACGACTGTGAAAAAATGATATACTATGGAAAAGGCTTTATCAGCTTAAAGTGGTCATATTGTGCTCATTTTCAGGTTCATAATTTTATTTAGCAAAGGTTTACATGGTTTCATTTTCAAAAAAACACCATATTTTTGTGAAGCATCTCACTTCTATAGTTTTTGCTAGTTCTATAGTAATTGCTAGTTAAGGGCTAGCCAAAGAGCAGAGTAGGGCGGGTCCTGACTAGCTGGTAACCACAGCTTCGGTTCAGCTGTACATGTTCCCAAGCCAGCTTTGCAACATGGACAGGAGCAAGAGTTTCAGAATGGTAAGTTATTCATCTGTAACAAATTTTACCTTGATTAAGGCAGCAGGAGGATGTCTTGTCACAGTGTGTACTACAGCTCAGTGTGTTTCTCCACCAGCGTTTTTGAGGGCGTACCACATTAGCCACTAGGCGAGCATTATGACGTGTGTTACATAGTGATGCAGATAGATTATGGAAGCAAAGGCTGGACTACAGTTGAGCTGTTTTAAGGCAGTTCAGGAGCAGTGTTATCTGTGGGACATGGTAACTCCCTTTGTGGCTTTTTCACTTTGCACACCTATTACATGCACAGAAAAGATAAATAACACAATAAAAGAAATGGAAACAGCCAAAAGCATAATATGACCCCTTCAAGAAAACAATTGAACTGGTTGATTTCACTGAAAACCTGACCATTTGTAACATTTAATATGAATGGGATCATTGTCTCACAGCAGTAATGTTTTCTGTTAGTGTCTGAATGCTGACTCCCTCACTTATTTCAGGCGGGAGCCCCAGCCAGCACATTTCCTTCAGGGAGTTCTTCCACCAACCCTTTCCTGTAGCACAGCTCCGAGTCCTCGCCACCAGAGGGCAGCATGCAGCACATATTCAACTCACCGTTCCCTCATGCAATTAGAGGCAGTACATTTTTTTTAAGACTTACATTTTCGGATTTTATTTTTCTTCAGGAAAAAAAAGTTTACAACACTATGAAGGAGTGGAAAAGACTAAGGGACTGTTATGGAGGGAAATTTAATGTTTGGACTATATACAATACATTATATGCTTTTTATTTTTTGTTTATGACTGTAAGCTCTGTGCATATCATCATTTGTAATCATTAAGTACATGTTATGTATAACAAGGACTGAGTTAACAAGGGTGAGTATACACACACCTTGTGGGCCCCCCCCCACTACAAACTATAGTATCTACTTCTATGTATCTTGGTAAGGGTATATACACTAAGATTATTAACAGGGTTCCATCCAAATCCTTGATCAGTGGTTGAAGCAACCATGATGTTGCAGGTATTTCATTTTCAAAAGGGATTTCTTTTTGATATTTTAGAATAATTGCTACTATACAGGCACTAAGGTGCAAAATGTCCTCTTATTGTCTTACAGATCCAGATCCAAGTTGCCTATAACCCAAAGCAACCAAACCCACCTCTTTTTTAAACTAGAGTAACGTCCCAAGCAGGTGGGTGGGACACAGCATCCTGGACTGTTCGTCATCCTTTGAAATATTAACAATATCTGTGAAATTGTGAAGAAAGAGTAGAGTTTTTGTTTGAAAGGGCAGCTCCTTCAATATGAGGCTTGCACAAACTTCACATGGTTTAGCCTACCAGGTAAAGGGACAGGTGTGTCTACTAGAGCACAAATGAAGGAAAGAGACAAGAAGCGCAGGCATTATGATGACTATTTCTTTGTCCTGTTACCTTACCCAATCCATAAAATATTGGAAAAATTGGTAAATATTCTGTCACTAACCTCTCTCCTGCTGGTTGAAAATTTCAGAGGAGCACATTTCAGGTATTTACTATAACAAAAGGAAAGACTGTTCAGAAAGCTTGTAGTAGATGTGACCCAAATTGGGTCACTGAAAACAAGTGAAGAAGTTATTCACATGGTTGCAAGTGACTGGTCCTCTTGAAGGGGAATGGCTGGTTTACCAGACCCTGCCTAAGCAAGACATTTACAACATTCGAAAATAAAATATTGATTTGTTTGATGAAAATGTTTGAACTATGAAATGTTTGTTATGTTGTATTCACCACAATCCCTTAACATCTGTCCGATGTTAACCGGATGAGGACTAATATTGCGCTCTCTTCAGTTTGCTTTAAATAAGGCAAGGGAAAAGAACAGATTCATTACGGGATTATTACGTTACTCGATCAGCCCGGGACTTCCCCGAACTAGGGTCTCAATTGTGCCACCAATGACTAACTATAAATTTGTGTTTCTTGTTCTTACAAGAATAGGTAAGTAAATGTGTACATATATAATATATGTATAAATAAATTAAAAGATTTTTAACTACACTTTTGAGTTTGTGTAATTGTGTATCTAGGAAAAAACATTAGGTGAATAAATACTTTCCATTACCAGTTTATCAGGTACACAAAGCTAAAACTACAACAACAACAACAAGGCTGTGCAATTAATCCTACCTTTGTGCAGGTCGAAACGTTTAGCTGATGTTATTAATTATTTCTATCAAATTTCTGTTCATGAGACAACATACTTTTTCTAAGACTTTCTATAGTTTTTCTATATTTTATTTTATTTTATATAAAGAGTGCTGGCTAGGTAATTTGAAAATGTTAAAATTCACTGTGTTATTTCAAATGTATGAGTACTGCTTTACTAGATGATCATTTACAGTCAACATGAGCTGGAGGAAAGGAGATGCTAAAAGAGAGTAAATTATCAGCATCTACAGACTACATACAGGCATTAAACAAGCAAGGAAAAAATATGTATTGGATCAAGTGAATAAGGTGTATAACCTGTAGTAAGCACTGTACCAGTGGATATCGGGAGCGAAAAGTATATATTGATGTCAATACTGACATCAATCTGAGGCAAATTGATTGATTTGAGGTACGTTGTATTTGATTTTTGCAGTATGAAACTTTATGCATGCGAGTTGCAAACTCACAAGCTAGTCAACCTTGTCCTGTTGGCCGTTGTGTAACATAGTTTTGTTTTTATACTTTTTATTTGGTTAAAATTAACTTTCCTTGTAGGAGAAAGCCTTGTTGCCGTGACAACGCAGACACTTCGTCATGGCGTCCCTGTTAACAGATCCGCTGTTTGAAATCTCTGGACTGGGCCCTCCGCCCAACAAGAACTTTTATCATTTTGCCGTCACCAAGTCAGATGTAAGTATTTATAATAAGAACTGTCAGAACTCTAGGGGAAAACTACAAGTTTGCTGCCCGTTAACGTCTCTCAGAGTTGCTAGCTTAACGTTAACTATCTACGTTAACTAATGTTACCTTAACTAATAACGGTTCCTTTAACGGTAGCTAGCAAACAATTCAGTGTTATATACAGGTACTGGTCATATAATTAGAATATCATCAAAAAGTTGATTTATTTCAGTAATTCCATTCAAAAAGTGAAACTTGTATAATGTATACATTCATTCCACACAGACTGATATATTTCAAGTGTTCATTCCTTTTAATTTTGATGATTATAACTGACAACTAATGAAAACCCCCAAATCAGTATCTCAGAAAATTAGAATATTGTGAAAAGGTTCAATATTGAAGACACCTGGTGCCACACTCTAATCAGCTAATTAACTCAAAACACCTGCAAAGGCCTTTAAATGGTCTCTCAGTCTAGTTCTGTAGGCTACACAATCATGGGGAAGACTGCTGACTTGACAGCTGTCTTAAAGACAACCATTGACACCTTGCACAAGGAGGGCAAGACACAGAAGGTCATTGCTGAAGAGGCTGGCTGTTCACAGAGCTCTGTGTCCAAGCACATTAATAGAGGGACGAAGGGAAGGAAAATATGTGGTAGAAAAAAGTGTACAAGCAATAGGGATAACTGCACCCTGGAGAGGATTGTGAAACAAACCCCATTCAAAAATGTGGGGGAGATTCACAAAGAGTGGACTGCAGCTGGAGTCAGTGCTTCAAGAACCACCACGCACAGACGTATGCAGGACATGGGTTTCAGCTGTCGCATTCCTTGTGTCAAGCCCATCTTGAACAAGACACAGCGTCAGAAGCGTCTCGCCTGGGCTAAAGAATAAAATGACTGGACTGCTGTTGAGTGGTCCAAAGTTATGTTCTCTGATGTTTGGAAATCAAGGTCCCAGAGTCTGGAGGAAGAGAGGAGAGGCACAGAATCCTCGTTGCTTGAAGTCCTGTGTAAAGTTTCCACAGTCAGCTATGGTTTGGGGTGCCATGTCATCTGCTGGTGTTGGTCCACTGGTCCAAGGTCCAAGGTCAACGCAGCCGTCTACCAGGAAGTTTTAGAGCACTTCATGCTTCCTACTGCTCACCAACGTTATGGAAATGCAGATTTCATTTTCCAACAGTACTTGGCACCTGCACACAGAGCCAAAGCTACCAGTACTTGGTTTAAGGACCCTGGTATCCCTGTTCTTAATTGGCCAGCAAACTTGACCTTAACCCTATAGAAAATCTATGGGGTATTGTGAAGAGGAAGATGCGATACGCCAGACCCAACAATGCGGAAGAGCTGAAGGCCACTATCAGAGCAACCTGGGCTCTCATAACACCTGAGCAGTGCCACAGACTGATCAACTCCATGCCACGCCGCATTGCTGCAGTAATTCAGGCAAAAGGAGCCCCAACTAAGTACTGAGTGCTGTACATGCTCATACTTTTCATGTTCATAGTTTTCAGATGGCCAACATTTCTAAAAATCCTTTTTTTTGTATTGGTCTCAAGTAATATTCAAATTTTCAGGGGATACTGATTTTCATTAGTTGTCAGTTTTAATCATCGCAATTAAATGAAATAAACATTTGAAATATCAGTCTGTGTGTAATGAATGAATATAATATCCAAGTTTAACTTTTTGAATGGAATTACTAAAATAAATCAACTTTTTGATGATATTCTGATTATATGACCAGCACCTGCTGCTAGTTAGGTAGTTAGAAATGGTTTTCTCCTGTTCTTGCTCTTGTACTTCCAATAATAGTTCAGCAGTGCTTTGAATGGAAAGACTGCAGAAACCTAAATTAAAGTCAAGTAAACAATGATAAGAGAAAAATCTACAGGAAAATACATTTAGACTGGCAGTAGGGGAGACCGGGAATGGTCTGTCTGTGTCTTGGAGCTTTGTAGTGGATGTGTTCAAAATATGATACAAACTAGTCACATACAGTAGTGACAAAAGTGAGTACACCCCTCATGTTTTTGTTAATATTTGATTATATCTTTTGAGACAACACTGAAGAAATGACACTTTGTTACAATGTAAAGTAGTGAGTGTATAACAGTGTAAATTTGCTGTCCCCTCAAAATAACACATCACTCAGCCATTAATGTCTAAACCACTGGCAACAAAAGTGAGTGCACCCCTATATGAAAATGTCCAAATTGGCCCCAAAGTGTCAATATTTTGTGTGGCCACTATTATTTTCCAGCACTGCCTTAACCCTCTTGGGCATGGAGTTCATCAGAGCTTCACAGGTTGGCATTACAGTCCTCTTCCATGACAACATCACAGAGCTGGTGGCTGTTATGCGCCATAGATACTCATTAGGGTTTAGGTCTGGAGACATGCATGGCCAGTCCATCACCTTTACCCTCAGCTTTTCTACCAAGGCAGTGGTTGTCTTGGAAGTGTATTTGGGGTCGTTATCATGTTGGAATACTGCCCTGCAGCCCAGTCTCCAAAGCGAGGGGATCATGCTCTGCTTCAGTATTCCACAGTACATGTTGGCATTCATGGTTCCTTCAATGGAGTGTAGCTTCCTAGTGCCGGCAGCATTCATGCATCCCCAGACCATGACACTCCCACCAGCATGCTTGACTGTAGGCAAGACACACTTGTCTTTGTACTCCTCACCTAGTTGCCGCCACACATGCTTGACACTATCTGAACCGAATAAGTTTATCTTGATCTCATCAGACTACAGGACATGGTTCCAGTTATCTATGTCCTTAGTCTGCTTGTCTTCAGCAAAGTGTTTGCGAGCTTTCTTGTGCATCCTGTTTAGAAGAGGCTTCCTTCTGGGACGACAGCCATGCAGACCAATTTGATGCAGTGTGCGGCGTATGGTCTGAGCACTGTCAGGCTGAACCACCACCTCTTCAACCTCTGCAGCAACGCTGGTAGCACTCATACGTCTGTTTCCCAAAGACAACTTCTGGATATGACGCTGAGCACGTGCACTCAACTTCTTTGGTCGACCATGGCGAGTCCTGTTCTGAGTGGAACCTGTCTTGTTGAACCGCTGTATGGTCTTTGCCATTCTGCTGCAGCTCTGTTTCAGGGTCTTAGCAATCTTCTATCCTAGGCCATCTTTATGTAGAGCAACAATTTGAGAGTTATTTGCCATGAGGTGCCTTGTTGAACTTCCAGTGACCAGTATGAGGGAGTGTGAGAGCGACAACACCAAATTTTTAACACACCTGCTCCAGTTGCCCTTGACTTTAACCTTCTTTGGATAACTGTGACCTGGATGACTGAGAATCTTCACACAGACTTATAAATAAAACTGAACACTTTCATTGTTGTTACAACTAACTTAAACTGTTGTAGCCATGAAATAGCTAGCTTAGTGATGTAAATGCTAGCTTAATGATGCTTAAATGTAAATGCCCTGTATTTGTATAGTGCCTTTCTAGTCACTGTTACCCAAGGACACTTCAACATGCAGCCTGGGAACACCGGGGATTGAACGACCGACCTTCCAGTTAGTGGATGACCACTCTAACGCTGATCCACAGCTGCCCCTCAGCCATATCTGCTTACAGCTAAAATCTTCCAACCACCTCCCCTACACAGCATTAACACTAAACGGAAATGTCTAAATCGGTGCTGATTTAGATTTACTAACTTAAGCGTTAGTGTCTTGCTGTTATTAATTAGGACTTGCTGTTAATTGGGACATTCAAGAAGAAAGCTGTGTGTTTTAAGAGCCTGCTAAATATTTAATTTGCAGGTGATATGGAGATGGTGGAAGATATCCCTGAGAACTGTAGACAGGGGCTCCAAGCCTGGGGAGCTGAGGGAGTCTCACCAGGACTTCTTGGATGACACTTGCTTGCATGGTAAGGACTTCATATTTAGGACTGTGTTTATAGCTGAAGTTTTAGATGGAACTTATAAGAGGTTAATAGGGTTTTTTATAGAGGACATTTTGACATTTCATAGCAGGAAAGCACTAGTTAAAATAATAAAATTAATGATGGCTGACTTCCAATTAGCTGCTGCAGTTTCAGGGTCCTGTTATTGTACATGCTGGCACAATGTCATGGCTTACTGGGACAATTCAATAGAAGAGATTGTTAAGGTTATCAAAAAGACCTGTGGTTTT